TACTGATTTAAATTATCTTGTTTATTTTTTTTTTATTTTTTTTGAATAGAAAAATTCTTTATTGCTCAATGTACATAATATACAGTTATTGTAAACAATCACAATAGTATTGAACACAATTCTGGTTATACTATTTATACAAATATGCCTATGAACTTACACAAATTTTTTTAAACCTTAACTGTTTAAAACATGGGATATAATAATAAAGAGAATCATAGAGCAATAAAGCCCTGAGGTTATAAACCTTAAAGTGGATATTTATGGACTTGTTTGGTATTGGACTCGCTGTATGGAATATTAGCAGTGGATATTTATGGATAGAGCCTAATTTTAAACTTGATTTAATATATTTTTCATGTAATTTTTTACAGCCTTTAGTTGTAACAAACACTAATAGTGAAATCATGATAACATTGATTAGGCAATCCGATGGTATGTCGAGTTTCATTAACATGTATTTTCACGAAAACAACGATACAACATTATTTTTCTCTTCATGTTCATTTTTGTCAAACTGTAAAATAAATCACTTAATAAAGTTGCATTACAAACAAATGATATCGTTACATTAAATATCGACCAAAACTTGCAGGGACTAAGAATAATATAATTTACAAATGAAATTTCCCTTAAACAAACCTCTTAAAATGTCATGTAACAATAAAAGAAGGTATGATAATTTTCAATTAAACTTTTATGACATTTTAAGAGGTTTGTTAAAGGGAAATTTCATTTGTTAATTATATTATTCTTAGTCCATGTTTTGGTTGATATTTTACGTTTGTAATATTAGTAATATTAGTTTATTAAGTGATTTATTTACAATAGAATACCAGTAATATAATATAGGAAATATACACAAAGGTATTGATTATATTTTTCCAATTTAGTTTCCCTACCCTAGTTTAAAGCGATATTATTTTCTGTATAATTTTTGTTGTTGTAGCTAAAAGAAGGGAAATAAAAGATTTTGTTTCCTTAAAAGGCCCTCTCCTGAAAGGAGCGATTGATAGGATTGCTGATATATCTAAAAAGCTCTCTAATTGTGTTACAGTTTTAAAGGCATGTCCGTAATATCCTTTTAGTTCGTTCCATTACGGCATTTTCCTTCTAGTAAATTAAATAAACTAGTCAATTTTAATTTAAGAAACGTGTTAACTTGTAGGAAAATGCTAGAATTTCAATACCGAATAATAAATTAATATTTTTACCATAAATCTTTGTCTTATTCAAACTTATGTATGTAAAGACTCCAGAACGACTTTTTATTTGGATTGGTTATACAGGGTGTTAAAAAAAGGTGGGGACATTAATTATGTAGTGATTCTCATCGATGTATAATAACTCAGATTTAGAGTTACTATACATCGATGGTGATTCCTTAGGTCAAAATAAAGAGAAAATCAAATATAATTTTTTTAATCGCTTTGTTAACCAGATATTGGCAATTTTTTACATAAAGATTTTATCTTTGATTTTTTCAACCGATCTTTACGAAACCTAGTAGCCTATGTGGGTAAGGGTAGAAGAGACCCATGTTAGAAAAAAAATATCTTGAATCTACTATTCTACTAAAAATTTCAAAATGGCGGCCATTTAAATATTTTAAACTTAAATTGCACAAAAATGGCTGATTTGATGAAAATGTGTAAAGAACACTCTTATTTAGAATTTTTAATTCCCTATCAAACAATGCCAAGTTCAGGAAGATCGAATAAGAAATAGCTTAAATATTATCAAATCAAATAAAATATTCCTTTATTTCCAGTTAACATATATACATGCATGGCTTGCGTCACAATTTTTTAATAAAATACACAATTACGATTTATAGTTGTAAAATAGGACAAACCTGCCTAGCATTTGCCTTATTGTACCTCATTTTACAACTTAAAATCGTAAAATTTAAGCTATTTCATATTTGACCTTTTTGAACTTGGTATCGTTGATAGGGAAGGAATAAAAAATGCTAAAATAAAGTGTTCTTTAATTCTTTTCATTAAATTACCCATTTCTGTGTAATTCAAGTTTAAAAATTTTCATTTTAAAATTTGGAGATGAATCAAGATGATTTTTTTCTAAAATGGGTTTTTTAACCCTAACATACATACAAATTTTCATAAAGAATTTTTATGTAAAAAATACAAAATGGCGGATATCTGGTTAACGAAGCAATTCTGAAAAAAAAATATTATACTTGATTTTCTCTTTATTTTGAAAAAAAAAATCACTACGTAAATTATGTCCCCACCTTTTTTGAACACCCTTTATAAGATACAGATCAAAACAATTTAGTAAGTAAACAGAATTTCGTATGTGGAAAACTTGACGTCTTGAATGAAAAAAAAAATAGTAACTTACGTTTTTACAATGTATTTTCATTCAATTGTTTTTTACTTCTTTAAGATAAGCAATACGGCTCCAATTGGTTACCGTTTTTTTTTCACTGTTTGATTGCTATTTGTGGATTTAATGGGCTTTTAACTTGGTTTAGAGAAAATGAGAGGAATATTAGGTTGTTTGTTTTTAAATACAAGTTACACTAAGTATTTATGAACAGTTCACTATTCAAGATTAACAATGCTATCTAGTATTTTTTTTTTACCCTACAGTGATTTTGTGCCATAGTCAGTAGTTGTTTTATCATACACACACTCCTTGCCAGTTGTTGACTTTCTTTTCATTATTTTCCTTGTTTTAGGTCAAAGATCTTTTAAAAAAGGAAACCCAAATTATTTTGTAATAAGTTGCTTCTCAGCGTCCTAAAATAATTATTAAAAAATTACTATAACTGATCACCCATATCATTTTAGGGTGTATAACATTGTAAATTAAATGGATGGTGTAAAGTAAAACTTGATTCATAAATTAAATAGCTAAGATTTTTGGACTTAATCCCAGTTTAAAAGTTTACTGAATGACTGAGGAAATATCACTACCAATTTAAATTGTGGATATTGCATGCAGATTTAAACACAACATTTAAACAAACAGTGTTTACAATACGTTAGCAACCTAATTTGTTTTACGTAGTAAATATATTAGTCCTTATGTGTTTTAATTTTCAAATTAAAATTTAGCAGTTGAGGTTTTAGTATATAGTTAAAATCTTATTACATTTTCAACTCTTAAAAAAGTCAACTCTTTATAAACACAAATGTTAGCAAAAGTACACATAGCAAACAAAATTTAGAAAAAAATACTTTTCATAAACCGTAAATAAAAAAACACAAGTTTTAATATAAAAAATAAAACATTTTTGTTGGTTAGATAACCTTTTATTTTATTTTATTTTAAAGTTTTATTTTATTTAGAAGAAGTTTCTTATGATGAATTTCTAGTGGTAGCTAGGAAATACTGTCTTTGAGCCAAAGGTCTGTATAGAAAAGCTTTTGGAAAATGAAAACAAGGGTTTCTTTTTCCAACATGATATTATTTTTAGTTTAACCAAGTCTTTGCACTATTCTTACTATTATACCGCTTCTAGGAAAGGTTTTCTGTACATTTTGTATTCCTTATCAATATAAACTTCTTTAATCTTCTTTTTTACATTTTCGCAAACGAAATTTTGAAGTATTGACTCAGTGTTGCTAAATATTTATACTTTTCCTGTATAACTGGCTGGGTAGCTGAGTGGTTATAGTGTTCGCCTAGCAATCAAAAGGTCGCCGGTTCGATCCTGAGAAAAGTTAGTAGCTTTTTGATGGTTCGAAACTGGACCCAGCTGTTTCTGATCATTGGGCTTTAAATAAATGATCCTGACTAATGAAACCGCTGATCTTAGTCAGTAACAAAGCTACACAGGTCATCACACACCATTCTACACTCATCCTTCACTCATATTTGGGTTAAAATACGCACCTAGGTGGCGTCCCCATCTCAATAATTGATTGATTGATTGATATGCTTTCTACTTTATATAGTTTGGTGTGAGGAAATGTTTAAACACCGCCATGTTGGATACGGCAAGCTTCTACAGTACTGAATCATCGCTCCTGCGTCATTGTTAGATAAGGATGTTTCAAGCTTTATTTCAAGAGATATTTCAAGAGAGTGTAGAGGTCAGATAAATCTAATTTGACAACATCACCTTTGGGGCTACCACTGTCATTGTTGAATATGTGGTCTATGGGCTACGCCTGAACCTTTGCAGTTTGCTTATTTATACCTATACGTTTAACAAATTTGGCGGATAAGTTTAGTTGGCAGGTTCACTATGGCAGGTATTTTTTTCAAATTTGAACACAGTTTTAACTCAGATATTTAAAAACAAAACTTTATTTTATGAACATATTTTATTACGAGGTTGAAACAATGACTAACGAAACGTGTACCTGACATAAACAGTCCTATCTTTCCACCTAATTGAAATCCTGCAGGTCTTAAAGTTGAAGGTCCTTATGAACATTAAAAGTGATGAAGTCATTTGATACATATACTAGGCGAACCTTCTACGTTTGAACTACAGATAGTATTATGAAAATTGGGCAAAAAAAGCGTATACGATTTAAGTGATCTTTGAATTAACATTTATAATTATAAGAACTCGCGTTTTGTCCAAAACTAAATTGTGAGTAAATAAAATCGCACACAGTTAATTAGCTACATTCTAGCAATACGTTCATTCATTGAAACAATTTACCTAAGACATGTCCGTCAAATTTTATTGATATGGATGATATTATTATACGTTACGGTGGAACCTCGTTAACAAGACCCTGGATAACAAGTCACCCTTGATAACAAGTGTCATTTTAAAATCCCCTATGATTTATTTAACCCCTAATTACATGATATTGCAAACATCGCTAAGAAGACAAACTTGATAACAAGTCTTATTTTATACTCCCCATGAGAGTCTTGTTATCAAGGTTCTATTGTATATTATCATTAGATAATAGAGAATAGAATTAATAGAGAATACCTTTCAACGCGTATTTCTCATTGTCATTAGGCATGGTACGTCAAAATATAAATAAAAGGTTTAACACTCTTACCTTGTCCTCTTTTGTAGAAGTTGTTGTAGAAAATATCTGAAACAAAAAAAATTGTGTTATAATTTGCGTTTTTTATAAATATATTACCTTACAATTCCTATGTAAAATAGAACACATGTGCCTGAATATTTAGCTTCATCTCTTATAAAACAGTCGGTATATTTTATTCCTCTCTAATGAAGACCCTACAACCAATGTTAAAAAGAATCGTACCATTATATGGCTGGTTAAAATCAATGTGTTTTCATTATTTAAACACTTGTTGACATGATAAATGAAAATTAGGCATGAAACGGAAAGGTACTCTATTAAACCATTACTTTATAATTTAAAAATTATTTTTCACTTAAGATAAAAATAAATAAACATTTGTTTAAGCTAGCTGCATCTAGTCGCTTCATGAAACAAAGGACCGTAAGAATATTATTTTACCTTCTTAAGCCATAAAGCAGAAAGTTATAGCGCTGTTATCGTTGACAAATATGAACACTGTGTCGACAACGACATTCATGATACTTTAAAGTTTCAGCTATGTATAAAAATATAAAAGGAATAAAGTTATAAAAAAATCTGTGGCTGAGTAAAACAAGTAAAGTATGTGAATAGTTCTGTTACTTCCTGTTTATTTCTCAAAAAATATTTATAAACCTTTATGAGAAATAATGTTGTTTGATTAAACACACACTTTGTCTGTACTTTCTTGAGATCTTCAGGAAAATTCTTTGTCAAGCTTGTCTTTACAGGATAGTCAGGTCTTTACAGACAACGAAAAGGTATAAAGGGACACAATATCTATTATTACTGAATTCTTAATATATTGCATCTATCAGCTCCCATGCTGTGTCATTACCGTTATATCGGTTGTATTATTTATTGTAATTTTGTTCCATTTCAAACAACACACCAGTCTTGACTTATATTTTGGATACAAATAAATAGTAAATAAAAATAAAAATAGGTTTAACAGAGTTATTTAACCATCCGGTCAGCTCCTTTGTGACGTATTGATTAGTGTAGTTAGTGACGTAAGACGACCGAGCTAATTACTATGTCCAGAACAGAGTTTTGTAACCTAAAAACAAACTAAAATACAGATTAGATTTATGTTTCTAGTTAAGTCGTAAATACTCGGTTACCTTTTTAAACGTTGTTATTACAATAAAGACTAACGTTGAGTATATTGTCAAATGTGACGCGGGTTTGTATTAACAAAACTTGCATATAATGTAAATCAAATTCATTTGACGAATTGAATTAAAAATTCAATCATTCTTTGGTCAGCACTTCAATAATTTGTATAAATATTAATTTATACTACCATTTGTAGCATTTAATTTTCTTATATTGTATATCGTATGCTAAACGGTGAGGTCAACACTTTGAGATGCAAGATCTTCATTTGTCAAGTATTGATTAAAATAATGCCTTAACTTTTGTAATGAAAACTAAAATTATAAAGTCTTAATCGTGGCTAAATGTGCAATATGATTACAGGAATATAATTTTCTTAATGTTTACTAAGCCATTTAAAATATTACTCATAACACAACTTAGGTGTCATCTAGTATTTTTGCTGTTCTTACGAAAACTATATTATAAAAATGTTCAAGCAGGACATTTTCTACATGGGATAATAACTTAAACAACATACTAATATTACCATGGTTAAACAAATTAACAGTCCTAATCCTGAAAACCTTAAAAATATTTGTTTATGTAATTAAAAATTACCCAAAGATTTGAATGATATAGTTTGGTGGTTTTGGGTTGTCTCTATGTTGAACCCACTAGGTAAAAGTGTGGTTGAGTAATTATTGGCTGAATGTGATGAGCCGGCTGTGGTAAACTCAACATCTATCGATACCTGTAAAATTCCAATATTTGTCTATTTGCAGATTACAAAATTAAACTTTACAGACGTCATACTATGCATGTAACTAGAATAGTCATGTAACCAACCTAGTTTAAAAGTAGACCTATCTACCTGTATATTTTATAGCACTATTGGTGCAGGGCAAATACTTACTCTTTCTCATTTGGGTCCTTTAATACATCTAAAAATATATTCTTTCCTGAAGTATATAAGTAAGACATTCAGCCGATTATTTGTTGTCAATTTCTCATTAATTATAGTTGCTTTTTTTAATTTTATTCTAATGTTATCTTTCAATATGAGGATTTCTTATAGGATTTATCTTACGGATTTCTCCCATAGGATTTCTTAAAGTAAAAATGAAAATTTGGATACAAACTTTGTATTAGGTAAAGTAGTATGATCAGCTTCATTCAATCTAAAAATAGTAAATTAATTATAAAAATTAATTAATAAATTAGTATTTATAATTTGTTTAACTGAATAAAGAATTGTAGAACTTATAAATTATTGTTTAACGTAACAAACAAACAAGTCAAAGTTTTTATAAATATGTTTTGAAAGTTAATTGTTCTACAAATACTAAGCATCAACTTCGAGTCCACTATGGAAAACCCAATTATTTGTTTAATACGATTATCTTTAACTAGTGTCTGTGTAAGTATTAACTTCCATACACGTTATTCGGCTTTGGCGGTTGATAGCTTAAGGGTTTCGAACTTTATCTGATGTTATCTGATACAGCATGGACATTTCGATCAGTCTAGGATTTCCATCCCCTTCAGGCTGGATTTTTCCTAGATCTCCTTCTAAATATAAAAATAAAGGACCACGTACAGTTTGTTTGGATCGGCTTAGCTTTCTTGTTTCTTTAAAAAATTGTTTCTTAGTACATTTTTATTATTTTATGTTATCCTTGGATTTTCCCGTGCATTTAGGCCTTACGTGTGTGTAGAATGTGTCAATCAAAGCAAGGGGTGAGCTGATCAAATTAAAACACTCAATCGCTAAATCTTATTGGTGACAGCGGCACGTGAACCAATGAAAAAAAATTAAATAAAATTAAAAAGTTTCACTATCGGCTAACAATAGTGAAAAGAGTGTTATTAAAAATTAAAAATGTAATAACAATGGGTAGTTTGGAAGTACAAAGATGACTTCTACCTTCCTTTAAGATCATTACAACTGAAAGGGTGCGTTATTCTGTCTGGTGAAAAATGGTTTAATTGTTACAACTCATGTTCAGAGACTAGTAAATTAAATTAAAAAGTGTAAGGAATGAACAAATATCAACAACACCTAAAGAAAGGTAAAACATATGTCCCAAAAACACTTAGACTCATAACAGGGAAATATCTGTAATGACTTTTTTTAACAGTTGTTTCCTGGTGAACAAAATTTCCAAAATTTAAATTTTTTATTTAATGATAGCAAACATTAAAAGGCTTATGGTTGTATTAAACGAGCCTGGTTTTGGCCACTGTGGACAACGAAATAAAATAATAAATTGGTCGCAGATTTAGGGATCTCCGTTATTTTTTATCTAAGTCATAAGAATTCTAGTTCTGAATCTTCTTGTGGATTTTATTTGGTGCCTGTGAATGTAAAAAGACAAAATGTATGATCGTAATATTGCTATGAAATAAATGTTTTAAAAAGATAAATTGTAAAAGTGTAATTTTTTTCGTTTTTAAACCGCTGTTCTTTTATGGGTACTTTGGTATTATACCGTCCACACCGATAAATCTACTTCAAAAATAAGATTTTAATTAGTTTAAATAACAAAATCTTTCAAACCAACTTAGCTATTCCAACTTTGGTCCAACTTAACCATTCTCAGGTTACGATGTAAGGTGTGGTCGGTATAGGAACCAAAGTACCTTCTTTTGCGATAGGAATATTTCTACATATGCCATCCAGAGTTTAGATCAGGCAATGGCTAATATACCTGGTGAAATTATACTTTAAACACTGTCTAATTTAACCTTTGCCTGTACCCAAAAGTGAAGGATTCAGGAGATTAAATGCAACCAACAACGATACTTAAGTTATAAATGATGGAATCCTAAACAAATCGACCTTTTTTTCACAAAGTTTTTTATTTCTAAAAGAATAAAATTAATGAAAAACAAAGTTTAATTGGCTAAGGCACAGATCAGTGTATTTGAAAACTCGTTTGACGTAGAAAATACGTTTTGACAGATGCCAAAGAACAGCTTGTAGTATAATAAAGTTTTTAGCGTTTATCCTTTAATTTGTAAAACGTAGTAAATATTAATTGTGTTTGTGAATATGTTCGCACGATTGTTGTGCTCTTGTTATGTGTTACAGGTGAAGATGTATTCGTGGATTTTATGCAGTAAGTTTATTTGGAATACAGAATGATCAAAGGATGATAACACATTACATTTTGCTGCAGGATACACCATATGGGTGAAATTATATAAATAATTTTGTTTCCATTTATGGGGCTTGTTTTCTGTGTTAAAGTCGTATGTTCAACTAAATTGTCAAATAATGTGGTCCTAAAGAATAAATAGAAGCTTAATATGTATGTAAAACACATGGAAAAAACGAGCTTTTTCTTTCGAAAATTAATGAAAGTTATTTTGTAACCCATAAGGAATTTCAAGGCTTTAAAGGATTGTTGTAAGTAAAGTAAAAAATTCATAACCTTACGAATTAAATAACGTGTTGTAGTAGATGTCTCGTGATAGAAAATAGCTTGGGCAACTATTTAACAGATACTTGAATAATTTCCGTGTAAATAAAATATATAGTGAAGACCGAAAACACCCTAAAGCTGCAATAACAGACTTAAGAAAGCGAAACATTTTCCTAGAAATTATTCTAGGAAGAATTATCGTAGAAATTATTCTCCTGATAAGGAACAAAAAACCAGACTTTTCAGATACAACTGAACTGTGTATCTTTCCGTAGGTATGTCAAGCTGTGATTACATTTATTTTATTCCTAGCTTTACTTCTAACACCCCTAAGCAAACTTTAAATTATTTTTTGCAAACACTGGCTTAAAGCTAATAAAGAATAAGCTTTAGCTTTACTACGAGTTTTGTTAATTCTTTAATTTTAATCAATGGATTTCACTATTGACCTATTCGTAGTGGCACAGAAACAGTTAGACGTCAACCCGACGTACAAAT